AAATCTGATTATCATACCTATGGAGGCAGACATCAACATGTGTTCTTCACAGTATAAAGGAACCAGCAAAGACACTGACATTGCTTAAGTTATGGCAGTGAGAAGCATAACCTTTTGAGTATGCCAAGGAGTAAATCCCTGATCGTGTCAAAGGGTGGTTTTAGAAGCACCAAGAGTAACAAATTTAGATCCCACAGATTCACAGCTGTGTGCACAGTGTGGATACATGGGAAAACACAATGCACAAGTCCTGAACAAAGAATGAGAAGCCAGCAGTCTCTGGAACAAGACCGCAAGTTCAGAAAACAATGTTGAATTGCTAATGAATAAATGTAGGTTCAGGACGATCTGTAAAAAGTCAGAATTTGTCCCACTGAAAATTTCGGGAGTGAAAATTTCTTGTCGTGCACCAAGCAAAGTATTCCTTCCATGTGCAATGGTTGACCTTGCAGGTAGCAGACTTTCTAGCTTTCAGCATTGTAGAAATCAAAGTTTCAGGGATGCCTCAGTCCCCCAGAACCTAAGCTTTAACAGCAATGCTGTATACCATCAACCATGAAAGCATGAGGGTAAATCAGCCCTTGAAACAGAGGATCCAGACAAAATGGAAGAGCCCTACAGTATCTGCCAGGAGTCTTATTAGGTCAGAGTACCACATCTGCCAGGGCCACCCCAGAGGTATCGAGGTCACTGGAACCAGAGATATTTGAATAAAATTATCCCGAGCTCCACAATGTTGACAGGGAGAGGAGATTCCTATGGAAGCCAAGTCCACTGCACCAAGAAGGCAAGTAGGTTTCTAGATCCCCCTCCCAGTTTGATAGGCTGGAATCTGTCACGAGAATCTTCCAGGAGACCAGAAAAAATTAATTTCTTGACTATCTAGCTATCAGTCCAAAAAATTCTGTTGTACAAGTCTAGAGTGAAACTAGGCAAATGGTACTGCCTCAAAAGAGGCTACCATTAGTTCCAGGTCTCTCATACAGAAGCACAGGTTCAGGTGACTCCTGGACTGAAGAATCCAAGTTGAAGTTTTTTTCTGGGGAAGAAAATCACTGGCTAAAAGTGAGATTGTAAATATTTTTTAAATCGTAAACTATACTTGGTTTTGCATAGAGAAGACCCAATCTTCTTCTTCTGGGGTCCCCCACTGGTGCCCCTGTCTCCTCCCCCCTGAAAAGTGCCCCCCTACAAAGTGCACCCCATAGCAAGTCACTTCCTATGGGGGCACTAGTGCAGGATCGATCCTGAGCCAGGCTCTGTGTGTTCATTGACTTTGCCCCCTCCTCTGCTCACTGGCTGTGTTGGACAGCAGCATCAGCTCTGTCCAGTGAGAGAAGAGAGTTGAGAGCCGCTGCTCTAGTGCACAGCACTGGATCTAGATCAGGCTCAGGTAAGTAAAAGGAGGGGCTGCACACAATTAGTTTTTTTACCTTATTGAAACAAATGCATTAAGGTAAAAAAACCTTGTGCTTTAGAACCATTTTAAGTTAGGGGGCAACCTTCAGGCTGAAGAAAAATGATCTGGCATTTAGGAGACTTGGAGGTTCAGGTCTTGCAGGCAGCCTGGATGCTGGCTAGACTGAGCCCTCAGCTTCATTTGCTATTGATAGGGAAGATGTGTACCTCTGCCACCACTGGCATTCTTGGTGAAGCGATCAAGGAGAACTAAAATGAGGCATTGTCCCTCAAAAGACATACAAAGCAAGTGCTTTTTTCATGTGGATTCTGCAGCACAACATTTTAGCCAAAGAGTCCTCCTTATGTTCAGTGACAGGAGATTCTTAAGCAAGGCAGGAGACCAACAACCTGTCCACAATGTAGTTGAAAGCTACAGGCATGGTTTTTAAATATACTATAATCATATAGAGTATATGATACAATATACGTATATGGCATAGTGCAGTCAACTAGAATGGTAGATGCGTAGGAGAGACAAAGAGCTCATCAAGGATCTTCCAGTCTACAAATGAAGACTGCGATCAGTGGGAGCCCAGGGAGGTCTTGGCGGACTTAGGAGTCCTAAAAGAACCTAAACTGGGGAGAGAACTAGTAGAGACTACAAGCTGTTTGAGTTTTAAGACTCAATAATAGCCAAAACTGTCTCCTTTCGGTTGTAAAAAAGGCAGAAAGTTGCAACTACAATGTAGGTCTGTCTATTAATTTTGCAGCCAAATTGCGATAACACCCTCTTTATATTTTGTACGTCCATTCCCATAGCATTACTTAAAAAAAAATGTATTAAAAATTACAGCTTACCTTCTTTAGAAGCCCTTTTCTGAAAAATCCAGAACTGATAAATCTTAGTGTTCCCTGTTTAAGGGAGCTAGGGTAATTATTTTTGCAATAATCAACCTGGTCTATACTGTGCTGGCAGATTTCATTATCATTTGTAAACTTGCAGAGCGGGACTGTCTGTCCCAAGAAAAGGTAAAGATTCCCACGATGGCTGGTTCATTACTTGCATTATATGGTCTGAATGTGATGCATATATTCATTTCCACATTGTATTTCAATTGTTTCTATCCTGCTCCTACTATTCTGAACAATCCTGACTTTTGTAAACTTACTTTGTGAAGCTCCTTATACATTTATATCCTAGAATTCTGTTTTCACAATGTTTTGTTGATAGGCACTTCTGTGCCACAAAATTCACAGAGCCTGCCTTCTGAATACAGAGGTGCTGAGAGAAGTTTCAATTGGAGTCAGTACAGGAATAACCGCTTGTAGGCAGCAAGGTACTATGGAGTATGTAGCCATTAGAAAGTAAACAGCTGAAAAGCATGCAGGGAATCCAAGAATTTGTGGAAATGGCCACAAATGGCCAGCAGACAGGCAGAACTCACAACATGAGAGAGTTTAAGTAAGCTTATACCGGATTGTCAAAAATAACTGTTTGTATTGTTATTACTATGAGGATGTTATGAAGTGAAAGTGTCTGCTGTGACCATAGATATCCTTTAGGTATGATGTATGAATGGGAACACAAACATATAGAGGCTCTCATTTTGAATGGAAAAGTAAAAATACACTTGAACCACTTAAGGACCGCCCTATAGCAGATATATTGCTACAGGGCGGTACCTGTATGCAGAATCACGTATATATGCGCGAATTTGCATTTCTGGGTAGGGGAAGCCCTACAAGCGCCGCCATTCAACGGATTTCGGCTGGTAATTACCCGCCGACATCCGTTGATTACCAAGCATCTCCAACGGGGAGGAAGATTGTTTTGTTTACAAACAATCTTCCTGCCTGTCAGCTCCAGCACAGTACAGCCATCCCCAGTAAAGAACACCCCCCCACCCCCTAGTAAAAAACTCCCAGCATACAGTTAACCCTTTGACCACCCCCTCACATTAACCCCTTCCCGCCCAGTGCCATTAGTACAGTGTCAGTGCTTTTTTTAAAGTGAGGTAAATAGAACATTACTGACTAAGTAGTTCTGTACATATTATTGTAATTATGTTCAATAGTACTTTTTATTTTAATAGATAGTAATAAGGGTATTAAATAGTGTATGCGTACAATAGTCTGTTTTCCCACCAGCAGGTGGAGCTCTAGTCTCCTTTCAATGTTTTACCATCTACAAGCTGTGCTGTCTCTGTAACCCATAATGCTTTGTTAATCCTTTATAACATAATAAAGGCTTATTGGTTAAAAAATAAAATGTTGAAAAAAAACAACTCAGTTTGAAAGATAAATAATGAAAAACTCCAAAACCATTACAATGTCTCCTTAAAACACAAGCATGGACCCAAGTATGTAAACAGCAGCAAACTAGAAGCATGTTTTTAATAATACACATTAAGAATTCCACAATGATAACTATATTGCGGTCTCCTTGTTTATGAGAAGAGCTGTATTCTTATAAATGCCCACATTAACATTTGCTAATCAGACTCCAGTGGTTATTTTTCTATACCTGCGTATAGGCCAAACACATACAATGCTTTCATCAAGCATATTTCTCGAAGAAACAAGGTAATTTGTAACTTTTAACAAAATGTTATCTTGTAAGTTTTATAGGGCACTCAGGCTGACTCACCTGAGCATTTTGTAGCACGAAGCTCCAAATCAATCGGGGGGGGGGGGGAAATCAGTATTTCTCTATGGAGATGATTCACATCTCAACTCCAAGTTGCCTGAAGCAGAATGCCTGAAGCTCAAAAAAAGTTTTGGAGCTACTTTTGTAGCTCAAATTGGGCAGATTTGCATGTTTTTTGGCAAGTTTACCTAGCAACATATGATGCAAATAGATGATATTGGGCGCAATTCACTAAGAGGTATCTTACCGCATCCGAGTATGAGGTAGGATACCGCATAGCATTTAAAAAAAATAAAAACATTTGAATTCACTAAAAACCGCTACTACAATACCGCATGATTTATTTTATCAAGTCATGCGGTATTTTAGTGAAAAACATGCGTCAATGTTTCAGCTGTCAGTGGGGTTCCCCATTGACAGCTGAATGTAAAAGAAAGAATTGCTGGCAATTAAAAACATTTTTTTTTTTTTTAAAAAAACATTGTGGGGTCCCCCCCCCTCCATCCATACCAAGCCCTTGGGTCTGGTATGGATTTTGAGGGGAACCCCTACGCCAAAAAAAAAAAAAAAAAAAAAGCTACAAATTGCCGTGGGCCCCCCCAAATCTATACCAGACCCTTATCCGAGCATGCAGCCCAGCAGGTCAGAAAAGGGGGGTGAGCGAGCATAAAGCATATTGGTGGAAATAACAAAATTGCGCCATAGATGCCACATTGTTGAGCAAAATATCAATCATACTTAAAGAGAAATGCACATATGGTTTTTTGCTGATGAAAGACAAAATATACAGCTCATACATGTGCCCATTAGATTTTCTTCAGTGACTATTCTCAACCCAAGCACATCCCAAGCAGACATTTTAATATACAATGTACAAATGTGAAAAAAAAAAAAACCCACCATACAGTATATCATTTTTTTTTTAAAGAAGAAGTAAAGATACATCAAATACCTTACAGTCAACTTTTAGGATAAACTTTCCCAGTCCTCGAATCGGTCCAGGTGCCAATGCTTCTTGTCGTTCTTTCAAAAAGTTTTCTATTACATCCCACCAAGATCCAAAACGATCCACCAAAAAATCTATAACTCCAAAACGTATCACCAGCTTCTTAACTACAAAAACTATGGTAAAAATATGTATTTAGTAGTAACACTGAATAGCTTAAAAAAAAGTATAGCTGTTATAAGAATGTTATTTCTTACATTCACATAGCAAAAACACAGAAAAGTAACAAGGACAAATATATGATGCATCCAATTATATTGTACATTTTTCTTATTGCATTTATTAAACAAGTAATAAATGGCTTAAAAAAGCAAGGAGAGAGAAAAAAAAAAAAAAAAGATTAGGTGAGGATAGAACTACCCTATTTCAGGCCCTCTTGCTGGCGTATATCAAATATCTCCTACAGACAACTTCCTGTGATGGAAGAATTACACAACTTCCCTCAGATTACGGGACACCTTCATCACTTCCCAATAATGCTGAAGGACAGACCAGGCAAGATGGCATATGGATAAAATGAAATATAGATATTACAAAAGTAACACAAACATGCATGCACATTTTTTTAACTTTCAATTTCAAATTGTTTATGTTAAAAAAAAAGATACCTAATCCTGCTTAAAATGACTGCAAAGGTAATTGTTTAACTACTTGCCCTCTGGAAGATTTACCCCCCTCCATGAATAGGCCATTTTCTTCTATATGGCGCTGCGCTACTTTAACTGGCAATTGTATAGTCATGCAACACTGTACCCAAATTAAATTTATATCACTTTTTTTCACACAAAAAGAGCTTTCATTTTGCGGTATTTGATTACTACTAATTTTTTTTGCTATAAAAGACAAAATGTATTCTGCTACATGTCTTAAGGGAACAAAAAAATCTCAGTAAGTGTATATCAATTGGTTTGTGTAAAAATTATAGCATCTATAAACAACGGTATAGATACTGGAATTTTCTTTTTTAATGGCAGCAATCAGCGACTTATAGCGGGAGTACAATAGTACAGCGGGCATTCAAACACTGACGCTGGATGGGAACTAACAGCCATTGACATCTCCAGTGACACTAATACAGTGATCAGTGCTATAATGAGATTTAAAAAAAAAAAAAAAAAAAAAGCGCACTGTCAATGTACTAATGACACTGGGCAAAAAAAAAGGGGTTAACATCTGGGGCCTACAAAGGGTTAACTGTGTCAGGGAGTGTTTTTTACGGTGCAGTGTTTTACTAGGGTGATTAACAATTGGCACATCCCAGCTGACAGGAGAGATATCATTTACATTCACAGATCTCTCTCCCATCAATTGCTCCACTGATCACCAGGTCCCGATCATGAATTGCTGGCCGGGACCTGGTGATTGACATGTACCAGAGCCAATTATAGCACGGGCAGGCAAGCAAGCAGGTGCCCCCCTACCAGAAAAAGCAGAATCTTGTATATATACACAATGGAAATAAAAAGTATACACACCCTGCTAAAATGTCAGGTTTCTGTGATGTAAAATGAGACAAAGATGTATCATTTTAAAACTTTTTCCACCTTTATCACCTAGAAACCTTAAACTCAATTGAAAAACAAACTGAAATCTTTTGGGGGGGAAATAAACATGAAAAAAAAAAAAAAATAGAAAAAATGCGGTTGCATAAGTATCCACACCCTCTTATAACTGGGGATGTAGTTGTGTTCAGAATTAAGCAATCACATTAAAAATCATGTTAAATAGGAGTCAGTACACACCTGCCATCATTTAAAGTGCCTCTGATTACCCCAAATAAAGTTCAGCTGTCTAGTAGGTCTTTCCTGACCTTATCTTAGTCTCATCCTACAGCAAAAGCCATGGTCCTCAGAGAGCTTCCAAAAGCATCAGAGGCACTTCCAGTCCGGACACTTTTACCCCCTTCCTGTCCAGGCCAATTTTCAGCATTCAGTGCTATCACACTTTGAATGACAAATTAGCGGTCATGCAACACTGTACCCATATGAATTTTTTTAGCATCTTTTTGGAGACAGATAATGCTTTATTTTGGTGATATTTATTCACCACTGGGATTTTTATTTTTTTTTGCTATGTAAATGAAAAAGTCCAAAACTTTTGAAAAAAAGTATTTTTCTTATAAAATTTTGCAAATAAATAGCATTTCATCATAAATCTTGGCCAAAATTTATTCAGTTACCCACAGTGAAGCATGGTGGTGGCAGCATCATACTTTGAGGCTGTTTTTCTTCAGCTGGAACTGGGGCCTTAGTCAAGGTAGAGGGAATTATGAACAGTTCCAAATACCAGTCAATATTGGAACAAAACCTTCAGGCTGAACATGAAGAGGAACTTCATCTTTCAGCATGACAACGACCCAAAGCATACATCCAAATCAACAAAGGAACGGCTTCAACAGAAGATAAAAGTTTTGGAATGGCCCAGCCAGAGCCCAGACCTGGATCCGATCGAAAACCTGGGTTGATCTGAAGAGGGCTGTGCACAGGAGATGCCCTCACAATCTGACAGATTTGTAGTGTTTTTGCAAGGAAGAGTGGGCAAATATTGCCAAGTCAAGATGTGCCATGCTGATAGCCTCCTACCCAAAAACACTGAGTGCTGTAATAAAATCAAAAGGTGCTTCAACAAAGTATTAGTTTAACCGCCTCCTGCCTGCCATATAGTAAAATGGCAGACGCAAGGTGGTTCTCTCGTTCTGGGAGGTCATGTGATCAGTTGTGTCCAATCACAGCTGATCACATGTAAACCGGGAAATGACGGTTATCGGCATTTCTCTCCCCACGAGCGGTCACGCTGATCGCTCGTGAGGAGAAGAGAGCCTGTAATCGGCATTTCTCGGAGGGGACATGTACACAGATCATCAGAGCACTGAAGATCAGTGTGCCCTGATGTGTAGCCCCAGCAGCGCCACCTGTCTGTGTCCATCAGTGCCGGCTCTCAGTTCTCATCCAAGCCACCTGCCATTGCTCATCCATTCCACCTGCCAGTGCCCATCAGTGCCACATTTCAGTGCCCATCAGTGCCACATATCAGTGCCCGTCTGAGCTGCCTTTCATTGTCACCCATCAGTGCCAGTCAGTGCCACCTATCAGTGTGCATCAGTGCTGCCAGTCAGTGCCCGCCTATCAGTGCCATATACGAGTGCTGCCTTTCAATGCCCATCAGTGCAGCCCATCAATGGTTTTGTTTTGGTTTTTTCCAAGATTTTCAGTGGTTTTTGGTTTAAGAATAAAAAACCCAGAGGTGATAAAATACCACCAAAATAAAGCTGTCACAAAAAAATGATAAAAATGTCATATGGGTACAGTGTTGCATGACCGCACATTTGTCATTCAAAGTGCAACAGCACCGAAAGCTGGAAATTGGCCTGGGCAGGAAGGGGGTATAAGTGCCCTGTAGGCTAGTGGTTAAGGTTGTGCAAAGTTATACAACCATATTATTCCCATTAAAAGGTGGTAAAAGTTCTGAAATGATTTATCTTTGTCTCATTGTTTTATATCACAGCAACTGGTTAATAACAAACATGCCAAACTTATCTGCTCTGTGGTCCCCCAAATCTCCTCTTTATGATTGTGTATTTTCACAAGTGCCTTTTTGTTGTTCCTGTATTGTCATGGTCACCCATTTGTTACCCATGTATTCTAACAATAGTAGTATAAATTATATAGCATAAAAAAAAAAAAAAAAAGAAGGGTAGTCATGGTGCTGGGATATAGAAAAACTCTCCGGCACATGTAATGCAGTGCCATAGTGTGGTGAATACAATTCAAGGAAGGAAGGGGGAGTTTGTGCTGGAGATGGTTTTGTCATGGAGGATGATGGTGAGGGTGTTTTAGAAGGGGGGAGGGGGATTTGTGCTTAGGAAGCACTCTGTGCATTACTTACTCCTGCCCTGCAATTACTTAACCACAAACCGCGCCACAGCCAAAAGATAGCTGCAGCGTGTTGGTCTAGTTCTGGGAGGGTATCTATAGACCTGCTCCCAAAACCCCACCTCCTGTGAACCCCCGGGGTATGCATCGGGGCACTCTTTGTGATTGCAGTGTCCTTTGGATACAGCTGATCACAGATCGAGGTAAAAGGCCAATTACAGCGGCCCTTTACCATGTGATCAGCTGTGTTCAATCAAACTTGGTGGTTATCCGCATTTCCTTTCCTCATGTGCTGTCACTGTGAGGAAAGAAGAGCTGATAACCGGCAATCCTGACAGCACACATTTACACCAATAATCAGGGCACTGATGATCACTGCAGCAGCGTCAGTGCAAATTAGTGCAGCATATCAGTGCTCTCCTCATCGGTGCTCATCAATGCCCATCAGTGCAGCTACATCAGCACACATCAATGAGGAAGAATTAAAAAACCAGTGGTGATTGAATAAAAACCAGAGATACATATCATACAGGCCTATTGTAAAAATGTAACAACAGGGACTTAACTGGGAAATGTAAACCCCTGTAATAACTCACATATATGCTCACAAGAGCACAGTGCTTAGTGACCAAATATAATTTTGGTTGGATATATGTAATCAATTTGGAAAGGTGAAAAAGGCCCCCCGAAATCAACACATTAGCAATGGCATTCAAACAACAGTAAATACAGATCACTGCTTTTTTTCAAAACAGAACACAGTTTACTCATAAAAATGGATTACCTGCAATGGGTACAGGAAGAAGTTGTACAATCCATAAATTAAGGCATATCTGTACAATAACAATGGCCCACACAAAGGAGAACAAAGTAGATGTCGCTAGTTTTCTTTTTTCTTAAAAATGCTCCAATATCACTTCTCTTGCCAAAGGAGGACGAAAGGGGAGAGGTAGGGGTCCCACTTGTATCCGTTCCTGTTGAGAGTATATGTAACTCATGCATGTTCCACAATTATTATGCAAAAATATCAAAAAGAAAAACTATCAAAAAGAAAAAAACAGCAAAGAAATCAAGTTATACTCTTTTGGTCATTTCTATTCGTTACATGTATATCACAGTTTTCCTATAGTAATAAAGAACGGTTTCAAAAGTAAAAACCTTTTTTTTTTTTTTTTAAACTGTTTGTGTATACTATTTTAGTATATAGTCAGTGATGTACAGCATTGTCTTAATGGAACGTATACATATGTTAATCACTTTATATATGATTGGATTTTTATGGACAGTTATTAACTTGGAGTGGTAGTTTGTGATGTTCATTTGTATTTGATTTATCATTTCTATGTCTAACTTTTTTTTTTTCACTTTTGATGTACTATATATTGAGTTTATCATTGTGGTTTATTTATTTATTTTGTATTATGTCTTTCTAATGCCATCCACAGATGTTGCAAATCTCTTTCCTGCAACCATGGGTTGCAGGAAAGAAAACGTTTGATTCCCCCATCAACACAGTTAGTGTTGATGGGGCAATCCTTCCCACTGAGCTATTGTGTTTTTCCTGGCGGGGAGGAGCAGGGAGGGCACAGGGGGGGAGCCATCCCTGCAGGGAGAACTCAGTAATTATTGCTAGGAAATTGTACCAAGGACTTTTCTTTTCAGTATACAGGCATATATTTTAAAAGGGAAATACCTAGAGTTTGAAAATAATGGTTCTATAATGTTGAATGTACCCAGGCAACAAACCAGGGGTTCAGGACACACAATAGACCACTTGGACAAAAGTATGATTTATATGGCTCCTTATGAGAAATAAACCCCTTAACATTACAATATGTAATGCAAAAAAAAAAAAAAGACATCTTGTATGAACTTTGTTTTAAGATGTGAAAGATGTACTTTACATTTTGGTTCTTTTTGTTTCCCATAAGCTGATGCAAATTTGGTGGATCACGTCAGCCTTTTTCAGCCAGGGTGCCTAGGTTTCCTGGGGTACATTGAGGTCTCTTCAAGGGTGCCTTGGCAAAATGCCTAAAAATTACCCAAAAATTGTATACAAGCCAGGAGGTGGATCAAGCCTGCATTTTAGTTACACAAAGCCACGGGTTTCATTGTGCACCATTACGACCTTCTAGACACCTACATCCCAAAAACCAATGCCATCATCAGTTGATAAAGAGGACAGCTGGCGCCTGCACAGCATCATTGTTTGCCCCTCCTCTGCTTCTCTCCGTCAGCGCTGGGGTCACATTATCTGAATGATGGAGAAAAGCTGAGGGAGAAGAGAAACACTGGAATACTAGTCAGTACCAGTGTGCAAATGTATATTTGATTTGGAAGAATAAGTCACCTTGGGTCATTGGGTGTCCTATGTGTGTGGATGTTGATGCATTATGTAAAACTATCAGAATAGTTTTTTTACATTTTAGAATGGGGGTGCCTCAAGGCTGTCCATAATTTTTACACGGTGCCTGCCTGAGAAAAGGTTGAGAAACACTGGATTATGCAATAAACAAATTTACTATACTTTATAACTACAAATCCAAAATGTTTCCTCGTGGATGTTTTCATTATTGTATTGTCAGAGTTTGAATCACATTAGATTTTCCATTTTTTGAGATACAAATTAATAAGACACCGATTCTTTAATGTTGAAATGAAAACAGTCCACTGCAAAATTATTTAAATGAATTACAATGAGAAAGCACAAAATAACTTCCTGCCTAAGTATCCACATAAATCAGTATTAAGTAGATAATCATTTAGCAGCAATAATACAGCCTCAAGTCTGCGTGGACAAGTTTGTTAGTTTTGCACATCTGGAAATTTTACCCCACTGTTCTTTGTAAAACTGCTTAAAGTGTTGCTAAACACAGGACCCCGCATCCACTATATCATCTGGTCTCCCACAGTACACAGAACATGAAAAATTCAATTATTTTAGTAAATATAAAACTGCTAAAATACCTTTTCTCATCAGCAGTTAGAGCAGTCTTGTGACTTCTATCAGTGTTCAGCAGAGCACTGGTTAAAGCTTGTTTGTAGGAGGAGTTTTCTTTCTGCTCTAGAAGTATGCAAAACTCCTGACCTCTGTCTGGGCAGTGCCGATTGGCCCTCACATGCACTCTCCCAAGAAAAAAAAAAAAAACCTTCCTAGCAATATACACCAAACTGAGCATGTGCAGTGTCTCCACACCATAGGTCTTATCAGGAGATAAGAGGGAGACACTGGAAGAAAGGGAGGGTCAGAGAAGACAGGACCAAACATCCTTTTTACACAATGCAGATGATTAACTCCTTAGGTTTCACCGAGTACAACAAGCACGCTTTACTGCATATACAGACGGATTTTACTGTTGTGAATTAGCAACACTTTAAAACTGTATTGATTGAATTTAGATCTGAACTCTGACCTGGCAATTTTAGGACATTAACTTGGTGGTTTGAGACCATTCCCAAATACACTAAGCTGAGCCATCCCTGACCTGAATTGGATGTAATGTGCTGTAGATAATTATATGAACTTGTCCTTTACCATTAAAGAGAATCTGTGAATACTAAAAAAAAATACACTAATTTAAATCCATGGTGATTCTAAAGGTCTATGACAATTTAAAACATAAAAACTTCCAAGAAGGTGATGCTTTTTATGAGCACTGAACAGAACCAGACCAACTGTATTCATTATTAAATCTCTAGAGATTTCATTATACAATATAAATACAGTGATTGTAAAAAAAAAAAAAAAATCAAAATGAGTTTTGAGAGAATTAAACAGTCATCCTGGGCATATAACAATTCTTATACCTATTGGAGGTATAGCACAATAAAGTGCGGGAGATTTTATTTATATATACACATACATTATATATATATATTATACACACACACACACATACACGCAATATATCTATTTTATGTGTTTTTATTTCTAAGAGCAACAGCGATGTATCTTTACTCAATCTATTTAAATTCACAATCCTAGAGAAGGAGGAAAACAAATATGAATATTTTGTACTGCTACCTTTGCTTGTGTATCTTTTACTTTTAAAAAGGCAAAGTGAAGATGTTACTAGGGATGCACCGAAATTCCGGTTGCCGAAACGTTTTGGGCGAAAACACCCCTTTCGGCTGTCGGTAGTTCAGTCTCACCTGATGAGAAAAACCATCGATCACGGTGTTGGGCATAGAGCTGAGAGAAGGAAAGATGGCCGCCACACATCTCTATGCCCTTGGAGGACCGGAGTGATGTCACTTCCAGTTCTGGCCATTTTTTTTCTTTAATTGTTAAAAGCACTAGTTCAATGCTTTTTTTGATCTAATGCTTTACATTGCAGAGGATAGATGTGGGGTCTTATTGACCCCATATTTCTCCATAAAGAGGACCTGTCACTAATTATTTTTATCACAAGGGATGCATGCATTTCTTGTGATAAGAATAAAAGCGATTACAATTTTTTTTTTAAAAGAATCAGTGCAAAAAAAAAAAAAAAAAACATTAACTACATTTTTTAAAACAAAGCACATTTAAAAAGGGACACTTTCGCCGGTTTCTCTCCCTGAAAAAACATTCAGTGGAAACATATGAAATAAAAGGTGTGCAAAAAATTAACTCCAACACACATAAGATGCATTGCTAAACAAAATATACAATGTGTAAAACACATTTAAAAACATGCCTTTCAGGCACAAAGTAATGCCTGGGACCTTTTTAGTCAATCTTCTTGCTGCTGATTATTAAAGCTATGTTGCATGTTATTCAAGCAATACTACAAAGAGGTTCAAATGTATTACCTGAACTTTCTGCTGCATTAATTTCTTCTTTGGTGTTGATGAAAACCAGTGATTGATATTGCCCATGGCAATAGTTGTGGTTGCAAATGTTTAACATTTGTCCAGGAAGAACCATTTCTACACAAAAAAAAACATTAAAACAACCCAATACATTAAAGCATAAATGTAAACAAACTTGTACCCAACTCCTTCCCACCCACCATCTACAGTATATACATATTAAACAAAACTAATGCCCCAGCAGAGCCAGTACATTGCTGTATATAATTGATACCTTGGGGGGAAAAAGCTGGTTATTGCATTACACGTCAATAAAAACACCCCCACACCTTACAGTGCACATCATAAGAGAACTGTTTGGGCTGCAATTGTCAGCCGGAATTTGAAACTACTAGCTCTTTCCTGGTCTCTGGCTTCTTCCTCATTTTCTGGTTTCTGGTCAATGTCTCAAATACTAAAGCCAAAGCATCAGCAGTAGGGCCTGTGTCCATGAGCTTTGATGGGCAAATAAAATAGCTGAGACAGTTCGGAGATCATTCAGAAATCACTGCAAGTGCAGTTGACCTGCGTTTGATATACTTTATCTGCTTTTGCACACCCAGACTTGCATGGAGAAAGCAGCAATCCTAAAGCAAGCAAAATCTCGTTAACACTTGCTCCTAGCAAGCGGTGTCCATCGCCCCTGTGAAAAGCGATGAGCTGTGGCGGAATTGGTTTTTTGAGATGGTTTGCAGGCATCAGAGAGGAATACTACCACCTCCAGAATGCTTTTTTTCCCCCCAGATGAATTGTGATTTTACATTTAAATTCTGCAGCTTGGTCTCATTGACTTAAAGTGATTCTAAAGGTTTATTTTTTTTAAGAAAAAGTAACAAAACATGTTTATACTTACCTGCTGTGTGCAGTGGTTTTGCAGAGAGCAGCCTGGATCCTCCTCTTCTCAGGTCTCCCGCAGGCTCTTCTGTCCCCTTCCTCCTGTCAGGTGCCCCCACAGCAAGCAGCTTGCTATGGGGGCACCCCCCTTCTCTGTGTATCAATTCATACACGGAGCTGCGACTCAGCCCCTCTGTTCTCATTGGCTCACTGGCTCTGATTGACAGCAGCAGAAGCCAATGGCTCCCGCTTCTGTCTCAGCCAATGAGAAGAGGGAGTCCTGGGATAGCCGAGACACCAGAGCACATCACTGGATCTAGAGGGGGCTCAGGTAAGTGTTAGAGGGACTGGAGGGAGGGGATGCTGCACACATGCATAAAATGAAGAACCTTTCGAACCACTTTAAAGCCATACCTCCCAACTTTTGAACTTCAGAACGAGGGACACTTGGGGGAGGAAGTGACCTGCGACATGCATAGAGTGATGTGGCAAAAATGGATGTGGCCAAATGCTTAACAGTGGGAGGGGCCCAAGAGGCACAGGTAAACAAAACTCGGGCTTCCTTGTACCTATAAAATATACTTTGATTGCTATACCACAAGCAAGATCACACAACTTTGGTGGTAAATTGCATGTTAATCCACTTTTTTACAAAAAAAACAAAAAAAAAACTGTCCCTTAATTGCACACTGGAAGCCACTTTAAATAATAAAAGAGGCACCAATAGAGTTCCATGTATAAACCTGCTGCAAAAAAACAACTAGAAAGATAATCATAAAAATATTTTTTAAATAATTGTCGGAATACTGTGTGAACACAACACAGTGTTTTTTTTCAAATTTGACTGCAAAAATGGAAATACATTTTAAAATGTATCCCTAGGCCAAACCTTTAATTCTTCATTTGTACAGTATAGGGCACAGGCTCCTTCGTGTCTTGATCATGGGTTAGGTGCTGCCTCCTTCAGGTCAGGACATTAGCAAAGTCATCAGGACAGTCTATAGAACCCCACCAACTCCCATATATATATATATATATATAAATATATATATATATATATATATATATATATATATATATATATATATATATATATATATATATATATATGAAAGCAGATTTCTGGTATATACTCCCAAAATCACTGGAAGAATGAAGACTTTGCTTGTTTTTTTATACTAAGAGAAACCCTGCTTTAAATGCCTGCGCTGACTCCACTGAGGCAATATGATCGCAGCTTTCGGACTCCTTGCTTCAAACATATCATATCCTTGCTTCAAAATAACAGAGATAACAGACCCGGGTTTGGAACACAGCTGCAGTAACCTTGTGGCCGAAAGCTGAAACCGCAGAAGATTGAACATCCATCTGGTAAAACTTTGAAAAAGTATAATAAACCATGTGGCAGCCTTGCAGAGTTAGGAGACAGAAGCTTTCTGCCTAAAGGCCCAGAATACATCAACAGATCTGGCTGGGTGGGTGGGGTGGGTGCACAACAGCACAGGAGGAGGTTTTTGAGCCTAAGCTCAAATCAAACCCCTTATCCACCATGCAACAGTGGATTTAGTAGCAACAACCAAAGGAAAGAACACTCCAACACACAAGCAACTTATCACACCCGAATCTCATTGCGCTCACCGGAATCACCTACCATCTCGCCAGTAGATTGAAAGACATTTCTGTCATTTTCAAGTCAACTGTAGAGAAGCACACCAGTCTTAATATTTTTGTCCTCTAGAACGCAGTTAATTCTATGCCCAAGTTCTGCTTCCTAAATACAGGGATATTATAGGTTCTGCCTCTTTTACCAAAATACAGTACAGCTGAGATATACTACGAGACTTGCAAGCAGGTGAGCAAAATAGCTCCTCTATTGGCAACAAATCGTCCCCATCACATAATGGCTGAGGAAGTGCAGTTGTAAAATGCTGAATTTGTGCATCCCTCCATTTATCCAGAGGCATTGCACCCCATTTTTGCCTTAATGGCCTCCTCTCTTGACCATGTCCACTGAGCTGTCAAGGATTGAAAGACTCCTACCCAGCCTTACAGAACGGTCATCCTTGTCCAGTTAGTTTGTTTAGGACAGAGGTGGCAGAGTCAACTAAAGGGAATAGTCCACTTTTTTTGTAAACTCTTTCTCCAGTGAGTAGAGTTCAGCAAAGATTTTTAGGGGAGTAAACATCAGCGGCTTTGCTATGGGGGTGCTGAATGCCGCCAGAGGGGTGACACCGATACCGCCATTTACAAGCTGCCCGTCATTCTCTCAAAGCCATCTGCAGAAGGCAGGACAGCTCTGGATAGGGGGCAGGGCTGCCCGAGTTAACAGCAAATGATTGGTCATTAGGACGCAGGGTGGTCCTAGTAACCAATCTCGAGCTTGCAGCTCCTGCCCTCTGTCCAGGGCCGCTAGGTCTCAAGTACTCCACACTGTCTGTGTAAGGTAAGACAGGAGGAGGGGCGAAGGTGAGGGGGGACCGGAGGAAAGTAATGGGGCGCAGTTGGGAGGAGCCGAGGATAGAAATTTGGTGCTGTAGGGGGTGGGGACAGGTATAAGGAAGACTGAGGACATTAATGGCGGTGACGGAGGACAGTAATGGGGTCACTGAAGACATTAATGGGGGGGGGGCCTGAAAACGTCATGGGAGGGCTGAAGACTCTAATAAGGGGGGCTGAGAACATTAATAGAGGGGGGGGACTGAGGACAGGAATTTGGGGACTGAGGACAGTAATGGGGTCCTGAAGACAGAAACGGGGTAAGAGTTGCGCTAGCCTGCTCAGTGCCCTACTGCCTGTCCTCCTGGGGGGGATAGGTAACACCAACCCTAGTGGCACCACTTTCGGGATTGATCTAGCCGTTATACACTGCCAATTCTGTTCATGAACAGGGCACGTTTTGAACGTTTGTGTACATCTCTTTGTGCTCAAAGGGGCAGGGCTAGGCAGAGAAGAGTCAACCTGCACAATGCCAAGGCTTTTGTGTACAGAGGCAATGAGCTTTACAACATTAGCAAGCTGTTTAGAATTGACTTATGAGTACCTAATAAGGTCTCTAGGTGGAATTGGCATAAAGTGCGCAAATAATGGTGTGATGTAACACCTGAGTGGTTGAATTTTAGCGCCAAGATTAAAAAGTTTACACTGAGTGAATACATTCCAAACATAGTCCTCCTTTACAAAAGTACTGGTCAAAGATACAGGGAAACCCCTGTCTTACCTGTCCACACTGCTGGACTGTATAAAAAAAAAAACCAGGCTTCGCCCATCACAGTGGACAAACCCCAAATGGGTGTTCAGGGGCTGGCTTTTTAATAGCGATGGACCACAACCCTGGATCTGTATAGCACCCTACAGATAACTCAATGCATTAAAACAAGAGTCAAGCTGAATGCCTCACGTGGTATCCAGTGCCATCCTCACAGCATGGGCTACAGGTACAGGTACAGTTCGTAAGGTCTTCCTAAGGTTGCAACGATCTGGATACACTGCTTCTGTTTAGACAGAAGAAGACAGCAAGAGTTGATGGAATACTCAGATGATAAAGAAGAAAAAAAAACAAACAAACATCCAAAGCTGGTTTCTTCAGGAGGCAGAAGAGGTCCAACACCTACAGACTAAAAAAAAACTGAGGACTCACAGAGTGAGGTAAGAGTTATAGAGGAAGGCACTCCAGGGGGCCTATAGCCCATAGTGTTCGCATTAGTAGCCTGTGTCCTGTACCGTATAATTTAGTTTTGTATAGAGTGGAGAGGAGAAAGATCCTCTGTCAACATTTTTATTCCTGTGTCTCCAGTGGAGCGATTTATTACTCTATTTGTACTGGTGATCACAGTCAATGAGAAACTGAGAAGACATGCAACATTTTCCCCCAAGAACAATAGGTACAGTGAACTCTTTCAATGGGAGTAAATGTTCTGGGGAAACCTAAGATGAGTTTTCCTTCCACTTTTTGAGATTTCCTCTTACTCTCCATTGCATCTTTGGGACAGAAAGGGAAATTCCTCCAACAGAAAACAGACAAAATAAATAACTAAATAACTGGCATGATTTTAAGCCCTCCCTACTCTACCCAAAACAAAGAAAAAAAAAAAAAAGTTTTGGCTACACATACCATTAACAATTTCCCCCATGTCATAATGAACTTTAGTGGAAAAAAATATTATAAAATGCAATACATTTTTCCATTGACTGCATAAAATATGAATAGGAATTTGTAAACCGCATAGAAGTTAGCCTTACCTGAAGACCCTTGTACAGCCTGTTTCTCATGCAGGGCTCCTACAGCCATCAGTAACACAATCACAAGGAATAGTGGAATCTTCCAAGGTCCAGCAACAGACGCTGAAAGAACACATTACTTCATTACCGAGACTGGATAAAAAAGCATTTTTAGTACATTTTTAATAAATGAACTCCTTAACAAAACTCAGCAGTGAGAACTCCAATGAGAACTATTTATCATTTTCCAAAGGGCACAGCATTGGCAAAGAAAAGCAGAATAATCAAAACTTCAGTGGATGAGCCAATATCAAGTTTTTTTCATATATATATTCCCAGCTTCAACTTTAATGCCCAACTCCAGCCTTGCCTTCAGTCTTAGAGTTTGTACAGGATCTTCTGTACTGAAATTGCCTACTACGATTCATTAAACACTGTGCGTCTCAAAAGTGTACATTAGAGGCTGCAGCAATTTAAATATATCCCACCTCCTTTCCTGGCTGGAGACATCCAGCATTGTCTAGTACAAGGGTGCCCAACTTTTTGAAGAGCGAGGGCCACTTAAGTGATTTGGTAACCTGTCATGGGCCACAATGAGCAGAGCGGGCGGATGACAGGTCTGTATCCACTCTGCATATGCAGAGAGGACACAGACACAGACCGCTCTACTCTAAGGGCCCTCAGATCTGATCACCCAGACAGAAGGGGACAGATCACCTGTTTTTTTTTTAGCAGATCGGAGGTAGGCAGGGGTAAACCGGCACAAGTCCATCTACATCTGCCGCTCCATAGAGGGTCCAATTGGGTCTGCCTAAAAAACAGACAGGCGGTCCCGATCGGACTGATCGTGTGAAAGGGGCCTAAGGCTGATATGCTGCAGTTTACCCACACCGCGGGTAGCTGCACTTTGCCATAGACTTCCATTATATCCTGCAGGTGTGGTGCACTTTCTGAAAGCACACTAAATCTGCAGGTAATAACAGATGTCTATGACTCAGTGCAGGTAACCTGCACGGGAAGCAGCGGTTTTTGCAGCTCTGCTCCCTCCGCAGCTGTGCTTCTTGTAGCGCTCCAGCCAGGACACTGATATTTTGGGATGGCAGATAGGGAACCTGCAATCTGGGCTTGCCAACCAACCAACCCAGAACAGGAGGTCACTGGCCACATCAGAGGGCTCCATGGGCCACATGTAGCCCGTGGGCCAGTGGTTGGGCACCACTGATCTAAGCTGGCTATCCCTGGCCCACCCCTTTCATACATTGGATTTTTTTTCAATTATGGAGGCTCAATATTACATGTGGGTGTTATCAAGGGCAGAGTGCATGCAACTGCAGCCTGCCTAGAAATGTTTACTCCTCCACCCATCAAGGATTTTTGATAATTTATTTATTACAGGTACTTCTATAGTGGCATCAATTTACGCAGCGCTTTACATATATATTGTACATTTACATCAGTCCCTAACCCTCAAGGGGCGTACAATCTAAAGCCCCTAACTTACATTCATATACACATACTAGGGACAATTTAGACACGATTCAATTAACCTACCAGCATGTCTTTGGAGTGTGGGAGGAAACCAGAGTACCTGGAGGAAACCCATGCAGGCACATGGAGAATATGAAAACTCCAGGCAGGTGGTGTGGTGGTGTTGGGATTCGAACCAACGACCCTAGTACTGCCAGGTGGAAGTGCTCACCATTTAGCCACTGAGCTCCCCATATTTGCAGAACTCTTCTCAGGAGCCAGCCCACCAATTACATTATATTTAGAAAAAAGTAAGAGTTCAGTGAGCAACAAAAATCGAAGTGAAACATTTAGAAAAATTTGAAAAGCTAAAAAAGGATTTCTAGAAAATAGATTGGAATTAAATGAGAAAAAAAAAAAAGATAAATGCTGCTAAAACTATTTAGTGATTTTAATGTCATTAAAACTTTCCACCTATAAATGTTCACACAACATTTTAGCACAAGAAAACTCCTTCAGACCGCATCTCAAAATAGGTCTCTGCTGCCTCACCAATGTACTTTTTGAGGTTGTTATAGGAGCATGGCACTCTCCTCCACATCTGTTCATCGACCCAATTATGGACAAGGGCATCGATGATCAGGACGGTTATGAACATCCCACTAGCCCATAACCCCTGGGAAGCCCTTTTACACAAACCAATCCTGACCCTTAACACTTACCAAATTAAGCTGGTGGGTTTGTGTTTCTGGAAGACCAACAGACATAGCCCAGAGCCTTGAAACAACTGTTCAATCATTTTCATGGAGGTCCAACAAAAGGTTAATGGGGACCATGGTGCACCAGAAGCTCACTTCTATTCTTAAAAGACCCCCATGGGGTTTGGGACCCATGGATATCCTATAATTCCCATTTTAACATTTTCCGCACCCTGCTGTCAATTTGAAGCTATTTCACAGCTTTCCCTGTTTTTCCCTCCCCTGCTTTGTGCCTTTGCATCGAACCATTTGGCACTTCCTCCTCCTCCTCACTTCTGCAAAGGTGTCTGTAACCCGTATCAAGGAACATCCTCCATTGGTAGCACCATTACCCTTATATTTTGTGCTAGCCACTGAATCTTTTTACAATTTAAACTGCCTATTAAATGTCATGTATTACTGTGTTTTGGTACATATCCTGAATAGTAGCACCTCTATACAAATAGCGGTTTCTTTTTTGCACTGTTATTTTTTTATTTAATTTTTTTTTATTTCAGGTATTTATATAGCGCCAATTTTATGCAGCACTTTACATATATATTGTAAATTCACATCAGTCCCTAACCCTCAACGGGTGTACAATCTAGGGTCCCTAACTCACATTCATACATACACATACTAGGGCCAATTTAGACAGGATCCAATTAACCTACCAGCATGTCTTTGGAGTTATTGTACTTCATATACGGTCTGGGAAAATTAAAAAAAATACTTGTGAAACTAGTGCTTATGTACAAAAAAACACCATAGAAATCTCTTTTCCCTCTCATTGCTCCCCCTTTGCAACTCCTGCAACGATTGCTTCCTTTTTTACTGTGACACTAAGAAGCACTGAAGACACTCCCACTGCCCCTCTACACTACTGACCAGCACAATGGGGATTGCACAGCGGCTGTCAAAACGGCGTTGCACTGGTCAGTAGTTTAGTAATGTAGAGGGGTGGTGAGAGTGGCTTCAGCACTTGACTGTATACTTACTTTCCACTCTGGAACACAAGTCCCCAGGGTATGAAGAGTTCAGTTGTTGGTGTGGCCACTGTGCAGGCTGGGTGTAGAGAGGATCAGAGGATGGTGCTAGACATGGGGAGGAGGCGTCTCTCCTAGCAATCTATAGGGCGTATAAACCTGATAAAAATGGTAATTGTACCAAAAATCCTGTATAAATTTCAGATGATTCCAGTCAAAATCCCAGAGGTATTTTTTAAAGTAATAAAAAAGATGTTAACAAGATACATATGGATAAATAAAAAAATCTAGAATATCATATGACTTGTTGAGTAGTAATAAGAAGGGAGGATTGGGAGTGCCAGATATCAAGAGGTACTATAGAGCAGTAGTTCTAGCGAGAATGTATGACTGGACACATAACTCAGAGGGGAAAAGGTGGGTTAAGATTGAGAATGAATTAAGTGGAACTACCTTGAGTAAAACTATATGGGTACCAGCACAATATAGAGGTTTAAAAGATACCACGAGTGTTTTTACATTTAATGTTTTAAAGGTTTGGGATAAAATTGCATAAACTTATGAAATGGGATTTTAACTCACAACTAATATCACTGAGGAACACAGACTATTTCCCTCCAGGTAGGGAGGAGAGCATAGAAAAATGGTTAAAAAAAGAGGATCTTCAATTGAGAGATATTATGGATGGACAGGAACTAAGAAACACAAGGACTTGGAAAAAGATAAAAGGGAACTTTTTATTAAAATAGATGAGTGGAGATACCACCAATTAAAACACTTTGTTAGAAACCTTCCGAAACCTTTGAGATTGAGAAAGGATTGGAATTTGTTTGAGAGGTTGTTGGAAGCACGAGGAGATGGGAAACGGGGCACGGCAAAAGTTTATAAGATCCTCACTGAGTTAGACACACACACAAAGCCAATGTATATAGCAAAATGGGAAAGAGATTTGGAAATAGAGATAGATGAAGATAAACAAAGGAAAATATATAGACTAATACACGAGAATATAAGTATAAGAGAGGTGGAGGTAAATTATAAGTGTTTAACAAGATGGCACATTGCACCGAACATTGAGCATAGGATGAGTGGGGAAAATACACCAGAGTGTTGGAGGGGGTGTGGAAAGATAGGTACGTTATGTCATATATGGTGGGAGTGCCCAAAGAGCCAAGGTTTCTGGGAGAAAACGGTACAATTAATTGAGACAATCTCTGGGATAAAGATAGGATTGGACCCAGAGGTGTGTCTACTACATAGTTATCAGTAAATAAATACAAAGACTCGGGTGTATGGCACTACCTGAATGTGGCAAAGGGTCTGATTCCTAGGTTTTGGCATAGACCAGAGGCGCCGAGGGAGGAGGATTGGGTAGAGAGAACGAATCAGATATGTAGGATGGAGAAATTGTATTATACGCAGGAAGACAAAATGGGGCTATTCTATAAGAAGTGGAGAAAATGGGAAGAATTTGTGGTGAGATATAAGAAGTAGTGGTGAGAAAGAGGAGGAAGTATCTATATATACTATCTAGGAAAAGAGGTAATAGAATAATGCAGAGTGGGAGGGTTTATTAGTGGGGAGGGTGGGTATTTGAGGAGGGAGGGGTTATTAGATAGGGGTGGGGGAGGCAATGGGAATAAAAGATACCAAGAAATGTAATTAATGGTTTGGATAATGGTTTTTGTATGAGAATAATGATGAAATATGTATTTTATAATGGAAAATAAATAAATATTAAAAAAAAAAAAAAATATGTCTGTATTCTGATTGTAATACATTGCCGATATTGTCCCGGTTGTAGATCGATTAAAAAAAGTGTGAATATGCCCCAATCCTGAAGAAGCAGTGAGTCCAACATGTCAACATACACTATATTGCCAAAATTATTGGGACACCTGCCTTTACATGCACTTTAATGGCGTCCCAGTCT